AACTAAGAGTCTTGCCATTGAAATGCATGAAGGCAGGTCAATTGAATGAATCTGACAAATTTCACATCACTTTAACATTATGTACAAGTTTTGTTTGACATAAAAAATCAACCGTGTCAAACAAAACTTGTACATAATGTTAAAGTGATGTGAAATTTGTCAGATTCATTCAATTGACCTGCCTTCATGCATTTCAATGGCAAGACTCTTAGTTTCTTTAATCCTTTTCCGACCCAATTGAAATTTGTGAGTATTATATGTATACATATATACATATATGTGGAGCACCGTAAAGAGGAGGAACAAGATGAAAGTTACTGACGCTGGCAACAATTAGATGTCTTCCACAGTTCTACCCTCTACACACACTCTTCCAAGGTGAGAGCTCTTGAGGCTCAGCAAGTTGGACTTCAATAGCGAGGCCTAGGATTGGAAACAGAGTACCATTTTCTTGGACTCTCTCTTGTGTGGCAGAGCTCTGGGTGGCCTCTTGCTGCTTCTTCGTTCGCCTATGTCGGGGGAGCTGGGTAGTCTAAGGTGACCGGACTAGCCATGGTGCAAACTTCTTAAATGAAGATGATCAGTTACTTAGTCGCCGGATTCTTGACCGGCATTTTGGGGAAGTGATCAAGTCTACTAAGTAGGAGTATAGTGATAGTCTAATAAGTCTACAACCCGCGGAGAAGTGTCATTTCAATCAATGCTCCCTCCATAACTATTATTATGAGAAGATTTAGAAATGAGAAGTTTTTTTGTTACGGACGAAAAAGGAAAGTGAGAAGATTTTTTAGTTACGGAAAGGGTAATAATTAAAATATCTATGTATTCAATTACGAAGTACTAATTACTCTGAAGTACATAATCCAGGTTTGTATACTAGCCAAAAAATCACAGTGAAAATGATTGTTTCAAGAGCCTATTTAATTTGTCATAATGCTTTGATTTAATTCATGAAACTTTACTACTTTGATGTTGTCTACTCTGTACTCCCTCCATATTTTAAGGATCCATATGTTAGGTTATGACACAAAATTTAAGGGAGAATAGTAGGGTAATGAATAATATAGAAAAAATAGGAGAGAAGATGAAAAACTAGGAAAGAGAGGATAGAAAAAGGGTAGTTGAGTATTTTAAAGGAAAACCTTACCAAAAAGGGAAAGTGTATGGAACTTTTAAATACATCCCAAAATAGAAAGTGTATGGAACTTTAAAATACGGATGGAGTATTATATTTTCAACATATTAATAACTTTTGTATCAAACATGTGACTTTTATAATGATCAAAATATAAAAGGTGTACTTACTTTTCTGACTAAATTGCTTGAATTATTGTAAAAGACAATTTTAGATATTATCATATTACCTCCGCACCATTAACATTAGGACATTAGACAACAATGCGGGGTTATTAATAAAAATGATTCTATGTGGTTGATATTGAAATGATAAAATAAGGACAATTTGGAACCATGTAAATTTTACCAAATTTGTTATGATATCATTTTAGTGGGACGAACCAAAATGAAAAATGAGATAATCTTAGCGGGACAAAGGAGATATATATTTTGTTTATTCTATTAATAACATACGGAGTATATTTTAATCATAAATTTTGTCTATACTCTTTTTATAAACTTTGTAATACGTAGTATAATTTATAACTTTTCATAATTTTTAATTATACATTAGTTAATTTTAGTTCCGTGCATCGCACGGGTGAGAATCTAGTAAGTATAATGCCTGAAATACCTTTTTCACTTTTAAGGTTATTCTATTGCAGTTTTAATTTACACACAAGCACGTTACATGCCGTATTAATCTCCCCGTTACTCGTATTTTTAATTCCAATTATATTCTACTCTACTACCTCTTATTATTTGTTCCACACCACTAAAGATGATATTTTCCTCCTATTTGTGTATATATAGAAGTCCACTACAAAAAACAAAGGAATTGATAGGAGAGTGATATATCTTTTGGCACATATTCGTCAAAATTCACAGGAATTTAGCACAGATTTGGGATGGACACGTCCCAAATAGTCTTTGAAATAAAAAATAAATAAAATAATAACGAATAATGTGGGATAATAGTCTTTAAAAGATAATTAACCGAAAAGTAATACTACCTCCGTCACATAAAACTTGGCCAACTTAACAAATATATGGGTCAAGTTATTTCTCTCTCCTCTGCACAAATATTAACCACATAGTTTTTACTTTATTAATCTACGTGAAAGTCAACATTGGCCAAGTTTTATGGGACGGAGGGAGTACATAAAAAAGGGAAGAAATAAAAATGAAGAAGAAGAAAGAAAGAAAAAAACTATTGAAAAAAGGAAAGAAAAAACATAAACAGATTAAATAAATGAATTAATAAGAAGATGAAAAAAAGATGACCTCCTAATCTTTCTTAATGCTGAAGCTAGATCACTTCTCAATTTTAAAGGATTCCTTAACAGATATCAGGAGGCCTCTGGTCAAGAGATTAATTTAGAAAAAAGTTCAGCCATCTGTGGTAAAACTAGTCTACTCAGGAAGAATAGGATTAAAAACCTATTGGGTATGAAACTGGCAGATCTGCCTATTAAATACCTAGGAGCTTATTTACACAAGGGTATTAATAGGTTCAGTTACTGTGGGAAGCTTATTCAACAGTTTGAAAACAAATTGACCCCTGGAAGCAGAAAAATCTTTCACAAGGAGGAAGATTGATCCTAATCAAACATGTACTGAATGCTATTCCTATGCACATTCTTGCAGTAGATACTTTACCTAGGAAGGTTATTAAGATCCTAAATATTAAGATGACCTCTTTCTTTTGGGGATCCTCAAACAATAGAAAGAAGTATCACTGGATTTCTCGGCCTAAGCTTTGTTTTCCTACTCTCGAAGGTGGATTAGGAATAAGATCACTTACTGATCTTGAAAAAGCTTTTACACTTAAGCTTTGGTGGAAGTGGAAGACAGGGGATTCACTTTGGACTCAGTTTATTAAAAAGAGATATGAGAGGGAAGGTAATATGTTACCCAAAATTACAGATTCCACCATTTGGAGAAGATTATGCTCTATCCATGACTAGGCTTCAAATCTTGTCTCCCTTGACTCTACTGGAAATATAAACTGGAATGAAGAGATTGATGGTCAGTTTACTTTTAAATCTGCCTATGAGGAAGTTAGAGAGCTGTCTTACAGTTCTATTAAGTTTCAGAATATCTGGAAATCTAAACTCGCGCTGAAACTCAAGATTTTACAATGGAAAATTGCAAAAAGTATTCTGCCTATCACAGATGTGCTTGGGAGATTCTAACTAGTGCTCAACCCATCCATGTGCCCTTTGTGTAAGAAGAATAGTGACACCATGAAACACTTATTCTTTCAGTGCCCTCAGGTTATACAGGTTTGGAAGTATTATATGGGGATTCTGGGTATCTCTTCCTTTCCTGACCTGGAGATGCTCACTTTTGGTTCAGGAAATTCTATAGGGGGGAACAAAAGTCTGGTAGGGGTTTTCAGACAGAACATTTTTGGTATCATTTGTTGGCACATTTGGAAGATTTACTCCAATCAAATCTGGGGATTAGGGGGTACTATACCTACTTCGGAGCAGATTATTCTTCAAATTAAACTCTACACCCAAGATTGGGCTTTGACCTTATCCAATACAAAAGTTGAATCTGTGGGAAATATTCTGTTTGAAGAGATCTGATTTCTAAGGGTTTCAACTTGAATAGACATAAGATTCAGGTGATTAGATGGAGGAAACCGAATATCAAAGGTAAACTTAGTGTTGATGCCAGTTACTTACCTGATAGAGCGACCGAAGGGGCTATCTTCAGAAATGAGAATGGAGAAATGATGTCTGCCATTAGTTTCCCACTTCAAGCTTCCTCCGCTATGGAAGCAGAACTGCTCGCCCTCCTCTTTGCGACGAAATGGACAATCGACCGAGGACATGAAGGGTTTATGGTGGAAACCGACTCGGTCTTAGCTCTGGATTACTTAGCCGAGAAGAAGAGCCGGTGGAAGGAAATGGTTTTGGAAGTTACGCAGATGGCTAATAGGAAACAAGTGGTTTTTGGACACACAATGTGTGAAGGAAATGGAGCGACCCACTATCTAGCAGCGGAAGGTGTGGACTCTTTCAGATTTTATGACAACCCAAATTTGCTCCCTCCCTTAGCTCACGGGCTTATTGGACGGATTACTTTGGAATTTCTTCTCTTAGATATTAACTGTTTTTGTTCTTTGTTGTACTTATTTTGAGTTAGGCCTAGCCCCCCCCCCCCCCCCCCCCCAAGATTTGTTTTGTTTCTCCTGTCGTTTTATTGTTATTCATGTATTTTTTCAGAGGAATGCCTCTGAAGAGAGATTTTTTGGTTTGGTCCCCCTCTCTACCTGTATCTCGATCTTTTTCTAATAAAATAATGGCAAATGTTCCCTGGCATTTGCCCCACTGATTTTGGTGGTTTGCCTTCCGGGATAAAAAAAGATGAAAAAAAGAAAAAAAAAATGAAACTTGGGACTGTTTTGACTTTTGAGCAGATTTGTGAAAGGTGAGATTATTTATGTAAGATTTCCAAAGAAAAGACAAAAAACCTAGTATAGTAGGTCATCAACCGGTCAGAGACCAATGAGAGAAGATGAGCTGCAAATGTGGGATTATTATGGGATTACACATAAGTGAGATTATTTTAAGCAGACTGGTCAAATGTGGGATTGTTGTTATCAATTTTTCCAAGAATTAATCAATCTCTAGCTCCCTCTTCAGTCTTTTTCCATTTTAGTGGGTGCTTCAATTATTGTAATGAGATTAGTTAGGGACGACAATGTAAAAAATCTCTAACAAACAATTTTGTTAGATATTTATTTATGATCATATACCTAACACCAACAACCTGACAAAAACATTGTTAGGGATAAAAATCCCAATTTTGCTATAGGTACCCCAACTCTACCCCAACTTATACCCCATATAAATATCTCTCCAAAAAATTTACCCCTGCCTCCCTTATGTGCGTCCAAATTTCTCTCAGGCTCCCTTTCCAAATCTACGGCTTTTCCACTCTTCCCCTTCCGAGTAAGTTTCGAAAAATCAATGTCGTCACCGACCACACCCCCTCATCTGGAGTCGCAGACCTTCCCAAACCCAGCCATCTCCGACCACCGGCATCACTCCTCGGTTCGCAGACCAGGCCAAAAGGAAATCCGACACCCCAGTCACCCTGTTCTCGTTTCAACCGGCCCCCACGAAGCAACGGCTGCGTCCTTTCAAGCGACGAACATTGTGAAGGGAAAATCGCCCCAGTTCCTTTTGCGCTTACGGAAGTATGGTTCTTACATTTGGTATGATTCTTGGGCTATAATCTGGTTTTCATTAATGTTTTTGGTCTAGATTCTTCCCTAATACCTTATCTGAGCTTTGGATTTGGTCTTAGAACGATGAATGACGGTCGAGAACTCAAAAACAAGATATTGAGGCCCTGATTTCACTTTCACGATGATTTTGATTTCCGCTCGTTTATTTGTGTTTCTGAGTCAAAACTCTCTCCTGAGTGCAATTCTGAGCTCGAAATTGTATTTGGAATGTTAATTTACGGCTAAAGACCCAAAAACGTTCTGGTTTATGGCGAAGTTCATAGCGGAGTAGTTTTTTGCAAAACCTTTGATTTGGGTTATTCGTTACTAGAATTGAGGTTTCTAGGTTGCTGATAACAAGGAACCTGGGAAAAAATATGCTGCTAAGTGCGCTGGGAGTCAAGCAACAAAAATTGCTGCTATTGAGGTCCCTATTGCTAAGGAAGCTACACAGCTTACTGGGAGTCTGGGACTGCTGGGAAAAAGCTTATGAGACCTGAAACTGATCTGCAGGAACCTGGGAATGCTAGGATGGTTGAAAATAATGTTGGGACTGTTTTGAATGCTGAAAAACATAGTTTTGAGTTGTCTGTCAATTTATTTTAAATTGTTGAAAATAGTTTTGAGTTGTCTGTAATGTGAAAAGAGTTGTTTGAAATTGGTTTGTAGTTGTCTGTCTAGTGAAACTTTATTTTATAGTACATTTTGATGATTTTAGTAATTGTTAATGTGGTTATATAAAAGTGATCGGAGATATGATTGTATTTGTTAATGTAGAGATGAATTTGGTGAAAACCAAACATGTATAATATTGTCTGTGTGGACAGACAAAATAATGTGTTATGTTTTGTATTGTTTTGAACATGTATATTTGTTTGGAGTAATGGATGAAGAGGAGAAAATAGTTGTATTAAAGTCCCTCATGTTGGTATGGAGTTCCCCAGTAAAGAAGCGATTTAAATAAGTCTAAATAGGCTATGATAGGTGAAACACAACCATTGAATAGACAAACAACAGAGATAACCAGACAGACATTACTTTCACGCAGAAAGACAATAACTTTACACATACAGACAATACCGGAGATATCCAGACAAACAAAAGATCAACATACATAAGTGCATAATTGTACATGTAATGTTTGCAACTGTAATATGAAAAAAATACATGTTCAAAAAATCACAAGTTCAAAACGGACACATTTTCTCAACACTCTATACTTCAGCATTCTTCAAGACTAGTATATATCATCCTTGCATTTGTTTCTCCGTTGCAAAAGAAGTCACACATGGTATCATTTTTGTAAATGAATTAACGTCCGCTTGGAACTCTTTTTCAGCCTTACATTTTAAGTCATTCGTCAGCTTGAAGTGAATACCTACGATTAATACACAACACGTAGTGAGAACACATATTTGGTACAAATAACATATGTGAGACATAATCAATTTGTCTGGAAGAGACAACTATTGTCTGGCATAACCAACTTTTGTCTGGCTGTAAGACAGAGAGTAGTTAATTGGCCCATACTACTAATGTCTAGCCCAGACAAAAATTTGTCTTGTTGTAAGACAGAGTAGTTAATTGGCCGGACTACTAATGTCTGGCCCAAACAAAATTTGTCTGGCTGTAAGACAGAAAGTAGTTGATTGGCCCAGACTACTAATGTCTGGCCCAGACAAAATTTGTCTAGCTGTAGGACAGAGAGTAGTTAATTGGCCCAGACTTTAAGACAAAACCGCGTTCACTTTAGGCTAGACAGACACTGCAGTTCTAAATTGTCTGTCCGCCAAACAAAATACAAACAAATGACAAAAAACAACATACTCTTCTCCAAGACTTCAACGTCCACACCTTCATCATCTTCTTCCCTTGAGGCACACATAGAGTCATAAACTCTAACCAATCTACTTCCAAAGACAATTTTGAAGACAACTAGTTTCATTTCACATTATAGACAAATCAAATGGAATGCCAGACAACTCTTTTCACTTCACAGACAACTACAAACCAATTTTCAACATCCGAAGAGAGACATCACAAAAGTCATCACACGTACTATAATATACATTTGTAAAATAAGAAGATGTGCATACATACAGTTTTTCTATGTACTCAAACGAATAAATTTGTGTGTCCAGACAGACATCTTATGTAAGACTCCACCAATTATGAAACCATGCTCAGCTAGACAGACGCTGCACTTCAAATTTGTCTGTCAGACAGACGATTAAAAAATATTAAACTGAAAAAAATTACTACATCATACTCCCTCCGTCCCTAAATGTTTGTCACACTTTGACTTCACAAGTTTTAAGGAGATGAATTTGACTTTACACTGTAGCGACACTGTTTCACACTGTAGCGACACTGTTTGACACTGTTTTGCACTGTTTGACACTGTTTGGTATAGATTTGTTTACCAAATAAGGAAGTTGAAAAAGTATGACAAACATTTTGGGACATCCGTTTCGGGAAAGTGTGACAAACATTTAGGGACGGAGGGAGTATTAAATTGGAAATCCATAAAAATACTCAATTAACACTAAGGTACAAAAAAATGGAAAAAAAGTATTGAATTTCAACAAAAAATTCATTGAGTAATTTCTACAAACATGTTATGGGCATAAAATGTTCTAGAGAAATTACACTAAAATTTTAGTTAATTAACACCTCTAAATGATTACAATGAAACAAACTAATCAATTATTCACTTTATATCATACATTCATACATAATATACATGATATACTATAGATCTAGAGAGAAGTGAGAGCTAGAGAGAGAAGTAGTATGGATGCTCTGTATTAATGAATTTATCAACCCTTACAACTACTTCGAGAGGGAGTATTTATAGGAAAAATTAGGGCTGGGCTCCCAAGTCTTGGGCTTGGGAGGCCCATTTACAATAGGGCCACTAATGGGCCGGATACAAAGTACATGGAAAAGATTAAGTATAAGACCCTATTCTGGAGGTCATCTATGGCCGATGAGGGCATGGCCGACGAAGGCGTGGCCGACAAAGACCCGGCCGACGAGGTCACCCGGCTCTTCTTGGCTTCTGGATCACTTTCTGAGTAGACTTCCTTTTGGTCGATGAGGGTCATCTGGCCGACGTGGGTCCCACCAGATGGTCGTGGTATCTTTTGTTCTTCCGAGTATGTGGGCCCTGGGGTCCAGGCCCATATACTCCATCAATACATAAAATCGAAAAAGGAAAAAAAAAATAAAAAACGCACATGAGGAAAAATTGGAAATAGAGTACGTACCTCATGATTTGAGAAGAGATGGTTACCTTAGAGACAACTAGATGGGGAGGTCTTGAAACCTTCCAAAATGGAGATGAGAGCTCTTGAAATGAAAAGAAGAGAAAATATGAGAATGGGGATGAGAGAATCGCAAGGGACGAATGAGAGAAAGAAAGATAAAGTTTGGGATGAGAGATGTTTGGAGGGGTAAAAATGATAAAAATAGGAAGGCTTTTATATGGGGTACAAATTGGGGTAAGATTGGAGTATCTATAGCATTTTTGTAAAAATCCATGAAGAATTTTGTTAGGGAATTATTAGAAAATGATCCCTGACTAGAGGTCGCCCAACCGAAGTGAAATTTGCTAGGGATTATTATCCTAAACAAAATAATAAACCAATTTTGTGAAAATTTATTACAGTATTTTATCCCTATCAAATACTCCGTATTCAACTTGTATCTCTGCCGGTGGTATAAAATGGATTTTAATCATTTCTAATCGTTTTTTAATCACCTACCATCGTTCAAAACTCGATTTCATCCAACCTAATTTATCAATTCGTGCTTAACTCAAAACTAACACTAATTAAAATTAGTCACCTGCTTTAAAATGCTGGACGCACGCGGGTTAAAACCAGTGGTGGGCAAAAATACCGAAAAATCGGTATACCGCACTTATCATATCGAAAAATACCGAAAAATACCGGAATGTTGGTATACCGTCATTTTCGGTACGGTATCATATCGTACCGATTTATTTCGGTACGGTAACAGTAAATGTTTTCAAATACCGCGGTATACCGGTATAATACCGTACCGGCTTCATACCCAACAATTACTTTAAATTCTAAAATATTGTAAAAGTCCATTACAATTTTGAAGCTCAAAATTAATACTTAGGTTGGTTGCACATACTAAAATACAAAAAGAAAGGCTCAATTTCCCAAACCCGCTACAAGTGTTTAGCTTAGGTTTCTACTACGTAACTTTCAAACAATTAAATAAACATAATGACTAATGAGTAATGTACTAATGTCCAGAAACTAGTACATCTTGTCCAATGAGCTTGTGAGTCGCGATGGCTGAGAGCTGCTGAGTAGCTGACGAGTGAAGAAGGATACACTTATGTGACGAATATATCTACATAGGGATCTACTTAGTCGATGTACACAATTTTGTCTCAAAGTCTATTTCAAATATTTTTTAAAATTGAAAAAATGACGTAAATACACAATATCATATTAGGGATAAATGATTTTGTATCCATGTTGTTTGAATAATTTTATTTATTTTTATATTCATTTAATTATATCTATATTGTTCAAGTTATTTTATGAGAATGTGTTATTTTTTAATATGTGACATGTTGAACTGCTTAAATATACTAATAATTATTATTGTTCAATATTGAATATGACATCAATAGATTATTAATTGTATTTTGTAACATTTTAATAATTGATTAAATATGTCGCTAGTAACACCGATTTAATTAGTATATTTTGTTAGTGTATGATAATTTGTTGTAGTGTGAGACGTGCACGGTAATTTACTGATACCGTACCGATATCGAACCGAAACTTCGGTATACCGAAATACGGTATACCGAAACTTCGGTAAGGTAACGGTATATAAATTTTGTATACCGAAAGTTTTGGTATGGTAAAGGTATGTGAGAAAATATTAGATATACCGTACCGAACCACCCCTAGTTAAAACAACATTTTTAGGTGTATTAGTGATTCAAAGCTCGCTTCCTCGCATATAACTGCAATTTCCTTAATTAATACTCCGTATTAACTTTTAATATAGCTATAGAATTTGCTTTTAAAGAAGGGTTAATTGTCAAAATATGACTAAAAGCTGGTCTCTTTGCACAAATAGAACCAAAAAGTAAATGATGTTTTGATAGGACTAATTATGTGTGTGTTGGACAAATATACCATTGTTGCAATTTAAATGTTTTAATTCATAACAAAATGATAAAAAATAATAAAAATTCGTAAAAAATACTAAAGAATTAATAAAAATATTTAAATAATAATAAAAAAGAAAAATTTAAAATCAAAAAAATAAAAAAAAATGCAAAAAAAAAAATAATCACCGTTGCCTCTACCGCCCCGGCACCACCACCTCCAGTCACTAGGGGGCGAAATGCCACATCCACCTCCAGTCCTATTTTGGGTTTTTGCCATAGTTTTAGTCATATTTGGAGTAATTTCCGTTTAAAAAACACACTTATACTATACGTATGATTTAAACTAATGCTTAAATATTCATTCCATTCATATATTATTGTGAAATTTATTCATTACAAATAATTATTTGATTACTAAACTTGTAATAGTTTGACTTATTCATGTTAAATTGTAAGTTTCTTTTTATATAATATTATATATATATATTTAATTATTTAATAAAATCTTATGATTTACGGTTCAATTTTTAAATACTCATTCCGATTTGATCTTAAAATACGATTTTAACAACCTTGGTCACAAACCCATAATATATTATATTAGGTGGGGATATATCTCTAACAAATGTTTAAATTTTTGTTATGTAGGGATATCATCTCTGACAAAATTCAAAATCTAACAGGCGCAAAAACATAAAATTTTATATTTATCAGAGATTTATTCGTAATCACATTCGATAGTTCAAAA